TATCTCATCAATGTACATGGATCAGTTATCAGATTATATTATATCAGGATCAATCATTCAAATACAAGAAACTGTTGGACAAGGTTTGAGCAACACTGATAATGTATCAATTAGTTTTTGCTTTTTGTAGGTGAATTTGGTATAGTGTATCGTGGTGTAATGACAAATAACCCTCAATTGCCAAAAGCTGTAGCTGTGAAAACATTAAAAGGTTGGTTAATTAATCTTTTTACACATTGCATTTACATTAAAACTGCTTTATTGTAAAAATTATATCTTTTATAAGTGTATAGTAGTCACCCAATGAAACTTACATTTAAAATTAACAGTCTATTTATTTTTAGTTTTTTTTTCAATTACTATTCAAATGCAACTTATGCAAGTGAATGTGTGTATGACTGTATGCATCATAAATTTCAGACTTGAGTAAATTACTTCAATTTTGATCAGAATCAACTCAAGCTAGATATACAATGTCAAAATATACATAAATATTAATCAAGTTACAAAAATAAGAAATTTTTCCTAGCTATTTACAACTTGAAGTTTGGCCCAAAACAATGCACTTTGTACTTAATCTCAGGCCATTTTTTTGAAAAATTCTTTAAAAATTAAATTTTGATCAGAATCAATTCAAACTAGACAGGTTGTACAACGTTAGAAAATGTAAGTGTATCAGAAAAAAGTATATTAGCAGAGAAGTTTTTCCTAGCTGTTTTTCATAAAATTTGGCTTTTGTGCTTAGAAAATTAAAAAATTTATAAAAAAATCCAATTGTGATTGGAATTACCACAAACTAGAAATATGCATGTGCATCAGAAAATATTATGATGGTAGATAATTTTCTCCTAGCCACTTTTAACAAAATTTAAAAAGTTTGTAAAAAATCTAATTTTGGTCAGACTCACCTCAAACTAGATATACAACATTAAAAATTTTTATGTGTAGCAGAAATTAAAAAAATAAAAGTAGATAATTTTGTCCTAACGGTTTTTGGCAAAATTTGGCCAGGGACTGTGTACATGGTAGATGGTCAAAGGCCATGGTCTGGCCTTTGTACATGGCCAAAGGCCAGATTTTTGAGAAGATTAAAATTCCTTTATAAATCCAATTTTGATCAGAATCAACTCAAACTAGATATACAACATCAAAACGTCAAAAAATTATAAAAATGGTGATTTATTTTTAGCCATTTTTACAAAATACGATGGATCAGGTTTTTTTACAAAGCTGTACTTAACAAGATAACACAGCACACCTCATGAGCTGGTTAGAAGATGAGCACTATACTGGTAAACCCTGATTGTCACACTTCCGTTTACTTGTGTACAGTTTGTGTGTATATAATCATAATGTTACTGATGTAGATCGAGAACATTTCTTATCACATTTTCTGATGCATATTGATGCTATTATGCTATGTAGCAGTTTGAGTTGATTGCCACAAATATTTTTTGAGTTACGGCCATTTAAAAAAAAAGCCAAAACTCTGAAAAATGCCCATGGTTTATTAAAAATAATGGCTCCGGAATCATCCCAAATTTTATTATATTTTCTGATACATATTGATGTCTTTATGCTGTGTAGCAAGTTTGAGCTGATTCCGGCAAATATTTTTTTAGTTACAGCCATTTTAAGAAAATGCCAAAATTCCGAAAATACCCAAGGCTCAGTTCCCTTTTTAAAAGGCTATAGCCCATGGTTTTTTCCAAAAAATGGCTCCAAAATTGACCCAACTTTTTATTACATTTTCTGATACATATTGATGCCCTTATGCTGTGTAGCAAGTTTGAGCTGATTCCCACAAATATTTTTCGAGTTATGGCCAATTTAAGAAAACGCTGAAATTCCAAAAAATACCCAAGGCTATAGCCCATAGTTTTTTCCAAAAAATGGCTCCAAAATTGACTCAACTATTTATTACATTTTCTGATACATATTGATGCCCTTTTCCAAAAAATGGCTCCAAAATTGACTCAACTTTTTATTACATTTTCTGATACATATTGATGCCCTTATGCTGTGTAGCAAGTTTGAGTTGATTCTGACAAATATTTTTCCAGTTACGGCCATTTTAAGAAAACCCCGAAATTCAGAAAAATACCCAATGCTTTATAGCCCATGTATTGATTAGGTATTTAGTACACTATCACAACTCAATCTTGATAAATATTTTAATTACATTCTGTTCAAGCTTAAGCCTCAATTACAATTGTGCTATTGTAATTGTAATTGATTTTGTTTGTTATATAATAATCATTAGACCTTAGATCTTATTTCTTTAATAAAATGAGTTTCTAATTACAATTATAATTGTACTTGACCCCATGTCTGATTTGTCCTTATCAATTTGAAAATTATCTAACTGTGCATATATGATATTCATATTTACATTGAAAACTATAACTTTTATAGGTTTTTATAAAGAGAGTGATATTGATTCCTTACTGGATGAGTGTCTTATAATGATGTCATTTGATGATTTAAATGTATTACCACTGATTGGTGTGTGTCTTGATCTTGGACCAGCTCCATACATTATCATGCCTTTCATGTCAAGAGGAAGTTTATTGTCTTACCTCAAGAAAGAGAGGCCTAATCTTACAGTAGCTGATACCAGTGAAGAGGATATTATACTGAATGTCAGGAAACAGTTACTCTCCATTTGTTTACAAGTTGCCAATGGAATGTCTTACTTAGCTTCACAGAGATTCATTCATCGTGATCTTGCTGCTAGAAATTGCATGTAAGTCTTTATTATCCTACTCCAAATTTTAACATTAATTTTAAGAAACTATTTTATTGTCACTTTAATTTCATTAGTAATTAATTTTACAGAAACTATATAGGAGAATGTAATACCATAATAGTGGGAAATTTTTGAGGGAGTTAAATTTAGCATTTTGCTAGCCATTCCCAGAAAAA